TGAGCAACTGTTTCTGACCTTGCGTATTCGGCAAACCGCGGTTACTTGAGATCCTCCAAAGTCAGACCAGTATCTTCCAGAGACCTGAAGTGTTGGCAGGTTCGGTTCAAGGTCGGCGGTAGTGATCAGCGGGATAAGCCAGGAGGGGGGCGGGAAGCTTGTGCTCGAGGTTGAGCGAAGGGTGGAATAACTCGTTTTATATTGGCTATGCTATGTACTGCGAAAGCGGAGAACTTTCTTTCTGAGGCGAGGGTAGCACGAGAAGAAAGAGATAGCGAGATCTCGAAAGGGGCGCGGTGAATAAGGAGTTGGGTCCTTTATTTCGAGGTTAGGTTGGATCGGACGGACAATGGCGGGGGAGTGACGGATGGCGGGGCGAAGCAGTGACGTGCGGGATTATCGGCAGGTGACACGTTGGCTACGAGCCACTCGACCTCGGAGCAGAGTAATCGAAAACGAGAAACACAAGAAGCTGCCGTCGAGAAAGGTGAAGACGGAGGAAAGGGGCGAGCTCGGTATTTAAAGCGCAGCTCTCAGGAGATGAGCTGTGATGCAAATAGCCCCTCGAGGAAATGAAGAGGGAGGGGTTGACCGGGGTTTAATTCTCGCCGGGGGTGCTTTGGAACCCAGCAAATAGGCACCACTGCAGCCTGAGCTAGAGACGGGCAGCAGTTGGTGGCCACTGCCCGATCGCGCTGGACGCAAACGCAAACGCAGGTCCGGGGCAGCGGGCCCGCCCATCAGGCTTCAATGGTGACGGGAAGCCTCCGCTAAACTGGCGGAGGTTGGGTAGTCATACAGTTCCCGTTAGGCCTTTGAGAGGTCATGCATCTTGTGAACGGGGCACCCGACCTGAAACGTACCCAAAAGCGGCTATCCTCGAGTCACCCCGCCCAATGAAGCGGCGACACATGATGGGACGGCCAGGATACGTTGAATATCGCTCAATATTGTTGGGAAGGAGCCCCAGCCCGTCGTCCACCATCACTTCGATGCTTGTTGGTTGAGTGTGAACACCGGCGCATGAAGATCGAAGGAGCATCGAAGGAAGCTTTGTGTCCAGAACTGCGGACGCAGGGGTGTACAGCCTGAGGGGCATGAGGGGCATGTGCGACCGAGGGTCAAGCCACATCTCTTGCCACAGATGACGTTGTTGGTCCCCACCAAGCTTTCTGCAATCGTCCCTTCCAGCCCGATGAGGTATCCCATCTTGACACCTTGAGAGCAAGGCTGGCCTCTTGAGTGGCCGGGCTTCATTCAACATCCACTCCTTTTCGCCTGACTTCACTCCCTTTCCAACCTCAAATTTTCCTCTCAGGCACCCCTCAACATGTCTGGAGCCGGCCCCCCCCCGAATTACTGTAAGTGAACTGCCCCTCACCACATTCCCATGTCGTCACCACCACCACCACCCTAACCTCACCCACTACCCAGACGCGATCCTCGAGGTCTCCGAAACCGCCACAACCACCCAAATCCGCGATGCCTACAAACGCGCCGCCCTAAAAACCCACCCCGACCGCGTCCCCTCGGACTCCCCCGAGCGCGCCGAGCGCACGCGCAAGTTCCAACTCGTCAACGACGCCTACTACACCCTCTCGGACCCCTCCCGACGCCGCGAGTACGATGCCCAGCGCAAGCTCTTCTCCGGGACATGGCCCGACTCCTCGCAGATGCCGGGGGGTTTTACGGGTGCCGATCCCTTCGCCGAGGCGACCGAGGGCGAGCCGAATAACACCGCGAACGAATTCTCGTGGGCGAGGAATTTCTTCACGGGGCAGAATGCCGCGGGGGCGGGGTCGACGCCGAGAGAGGATCGCGAGCAAGCGGAGAATGCGCAGTTCGCGGATGTGTTTGAGGAGATGCTGAGGGAGGAGGAGATGGCGGAGCCATCGGGACGGCCGACGGGCAAGTTCTGGGGTATGTTGGGTGGGTTGAGCGGAGGCGCGCTGGGCTTCATCGTTGGTAACGTCCCTGGTTTGGTGGCCGGCGCGGTGGCGGGGAACAGATTGGGCGCGATTCGCGATGCGAAGGGGAAGAGTGTGTATGCGGTCTTCCTGGTAAGTGCTTCCGGGGTGGTGATGATCCGGGATGATGAGTGAAGTTAATGGACGGGGGCTTATTCCGTGATAGGAACTGCCACAAGACGACCGGTCGAGGCTACTCAGTCAGATAGCGGCCAAGGTGTTCAGCCATACTGTGGGTCTCTGAACGCGGTCCCTTCGAATTTGACTTGGGTTGGTGGGAAATTGTAGGATTGGTATGGGTTGGTTGGCCTTGGAGTTCAGGTTTGGTCAGGACGGGAATGGGAGGAAGTTCGCGTGCTTGCTTAGCTCCTGTTTCAGTAGATAGAATCTTTAATCACTTTGTACCTGTAGAGACACGTTTTGCAGAAGGTGGATGTCATCGGTGAGAACCAGCGGCAAAGCCTCCTTTACTTACAAAAGGCGAAAACTCTATAAATTTAGCAACGCGAAACCAAAGCAATATGAAAGGCTGCACGGATCCATTCCGCTGTCCGTTTTAGAGATCTTGGTGAGATATAACCCGCCTCTCCCTGGAACAGAACTGTTCCTAGACTCTAATATAGAAGAGGGATGGCCCGCCGGCTGCGCTCTTGAAAACAGCTGTATAATCACCTCTTCTTGTTCTTGCGCTTCCCAGCCTTGTTGCCTTGCCTCTGGCTACCAGTGGCCTTAGCCTCACCAAGGTCATCGACCGACTTCTCGAGCAACTCGAAATCCTCAGCTGAGCCGGTGCTGGGAGTAGCCTTTCCGGGCTCCGAGTCCTCCTCATCGGCAACAAGCGGCTCACCCTCCTCTTCGCCCTCCTCCGCTTCAACCTTGGCCACACCCTTCGGCAGGAAACGGCCGAGCGTGAGCTGGAAGGCCCACAGCGGGAGACGCACAACGGCAGTGTCCTTGAAGGTGGGGCAGGGAAGCTCGTTGAGCTGACAGCAGTTAGTTTTGTAAATTCAGGGGTAAGGGGTAGTTTTCAACTCACGTCAAGCAAGAACTCGGCGACGTTGCCCTCCTCGTCCTCCTGCTCGAGATAAACGTCGCCGATGGAGTCCACAACCAGGACCTTGCCGTTCTCAGCCACAACGCGCTTCTTCGCTCCCTGGGGCCCGCTGCCTTGCGGCTGGGGTTGGGGGGTGACCGAGCCGGAACCTGCACCACTAGATGGCTGCGGCTCGCGGGCACCACGGCGCCCCTTGCGCGAGGTGGTTGTTCCCTTTGCCTCCTTCTTGGCATCGCGCTCTTGCATCCTGCGCATCTTGCGATTTATCGGGACCGCGTTGCCGTTCTCGTCTTCGTACATCTGCGGCGGAGGCGGCGGCGGGGCAGGAGCAGCAGCGGGCTCGCCGTCGAGACCCGGGATGTTGCCACCAAGGTCGTCGCCCCAGGCAGCACGGCGGGCGAACTTGATGTAGCGCTCGACGAACTCGCGCTGGCGCTTCCATCCCATGTACAGAGCCAGGTAGTGAGCGCCACCACCGGCGACGATGAAGACGCCGAACATGGCAGTGCCGAGGCCAGGGCGGTAGCGGTTGTAGTAGTACTCGGTGCCCTTCCAGGTAGGGAATCCATTGGCGAGGAAGTGGTCGTAGCGATCGCGACCGGATCCACGCAGGACGTTGGCAACAATCGAGAGACGGGCCTGGGCGTCCGATGCCTTCTTGACGGCGGCCTTGACCTCGGCGGCCGTAGGGGGCTTGGTGACTTGCACGCCGGGCTTGCCGCCCTTCTTCTTTGTCTTCTCCTTCTGGGCCTTGACGCGCTCCGCGGTGAGCTGCTGCTTCACCTTGTCCGGGTGCAGCATGCGCGAGCGCTTCTTGTAGGCCTTGTTGATATCATCCTGGCTCGCCGACGGGCTGACGCCAAGGAACTCGTAGAAGGTAACATCGGGGCCCTCGTGGGCTATGAGCTCGTCGCGGACGCGGAAGATTTCGCGGTCTGTACCACCAAGTTAGAGGTTGTTCTTGGTTGGCGGCAATCGGCGCAGGCAGGGATGGGATGGCATGCGCCTGCGCCTGCGGGAAGAGTGTGGAAACTTACCTTCTTTTGACCACGCCGCTGTCAGCGGCGTTAGCAGGGCCAACAGGCCGAGGGAAATAGCAGAGATCCTCATAATTGCATTATCGCATGGAGTTGAGCAAAGGGTCCTATGGTTGAAGGGACCGGCGAAAGTGGGAGGGAGGGTTTCAAGGGAGATCTTTTTTTCTGCGCTGAGCACCCAGCGAACAGATATGCAAGTTTTAGGCGCGGTAGGCAGCTCCGAGACGTTAGCGTGGGGTGTGCCTGAGGCCAGCTTGCGTGGTCACATTCGCCAATGAGCCTCTGTCGCCCAATTGTTTCACTCGATTTTGAGATGAACTGAAACCTGTAGTCTGTTTCTTTTTATCCATTCATTTTCGATGCATTTCCTTCCAATTTATTGCTCCTGGAAGCTGTCAACAGCCAGCAACAACTTGCAGCGTTTTCGCAGAGCCAAGACGGCATCTGGTTAGCGTCTCCTTGAGCGATCACCCAAGATCGCGCCAACTCAATTGGGAGCCTCATCCACGATCCGCGGAACCGCTCACCGTCCCTCTCACATTAGTCGTATAATACCACCATAGGAGCGGCTAAGTGATATATTAGCAGCATTCAAGCACCTACTTGACACGTTTCTCTTCTTCATCCACAAGTAACACCATACGATGAGCCGCCAAACTCCATTTCTCATCTCACTCACTCCCTCCATCTCTCACCTGAAAAAAACCTGGAACCAACAGAAGAGAAACCTACCTTACCCGTCCACATGGCCACATGGAAGCACATGCTCAACAACCTTCCAGGCCCTCTCCGCAACCGAACCTCACCTTCACAAGTGGACCTCGCCAAGAACCCCCAGCCAGCCCCAACCCAAACCCTCAACCCACAACATCTCCACCCGCGCAAAAGTCTTCCACCCCAACCCCTTAAACCAGGAAAACCCTCCACACAACCATCAAAACAGGCGAGATGGCCGAGCGGTCTAAGGCGCTACGTTAAGGCATTCCTTAATAACATCATCATCTCTTCTCGAGATCCTGATTCCGTAGTCCGAAAGGGCGTGGGTTCGAATCCCACTCTCGTCAAAGCATTTCTTTTTGCTCCTCTCCTCCCTTGAGGGCTTGACATATCTGTCTCTCCTAGGGCTTTCTTCCTCTGGGGCCAGGAGAGAGTGAGCTGGGAACATCTAGGCATGAATCTCCCTCACGCATCGCGTTGTGAGATGACGGTTCTCCACAAGGGACATGGAAAACGACAGAGTGAAAGCCAGCCGACCTTGCATAGCTCAAGGCATTACATTTACTTTGAGACGATATAGACAGCCCATTGATAAGATACGAAGGCAGACACCACACAAATTCATACATGAGAATCAACAAAGGCAACGGAACATCAGAAGTCAAGACCCATTACATTAGATTCCACCCCGTTCCCCCCCCAAAACTACACCAGCCCCAAAGAAAGGAACTCACAGCCTACAGCCATCATGTCACTTCCCAGTGACTGCAAGCCACTCATTCGAGATGACCTTAAAATGGTTCTTGCCATCGAGACATCTGAACACAAATCCCTCGCTGATTCCACCAAACGCTCCGGTGCCCTTGCCGTTGGCCTTTGCCAGCAACTCTTCCATATTGCTGGCAAGCTCTCCAATCTTGTAGTATCTGTGAACACATCAGCCACTCCATGAGTGCCCCTTGTGAGGAAGAGTTAAACATACCCGATGATCGGGACATGCTCGATCTGCAGTCTCTTGCAGATTTCGGCCACCTCCTATGAAGACAGTCAACCACTGTGTGCAATAGAGAAAGTAGATTGAAGAAAAGAGAGTGTCTCACCTTCACGTTCACATATGTGCCCGTGTCGAAGTTCCAAATTCCAAACACGACGAAGCGGTGCTCGCCCTCTGCGAGCTCCATGGTGTTCCCCATGATGGAGGAACCGCATAATTCTCCCTGGACGGAGATGTTGGGGTCTGCAGGCGTTCATGTCAGTGAAGTTTCTACCACAATGCAACCTGAAAACCGTCCGGCGACCCAAAAGGGGCCCGGGGAATTCAAACGAGGGCCGCACCGGACGGGCCCGGCGAGTGAAAACTTACACGGAATGTCCCAGATTTTCGAGGCTACGCTCGATCCGCCCTTCGCCGCGTCCCAGAAGAGGTTTCCGGGCCGGTCCATGAAGTCCTTGGCCCGGCTGCAGACGCCCACGTGGCCGCGGGCGTCGCGCATGCTCGCCGGGTACTCCTGGCCCTGCGGGAGGACCGGCAGGGTGCCGAACCATTTGGAGCCGGCCGCCACTTTGTAGATGTGCATCGATATGCCGTCGAGCTTCTCCGTCACCTGCCACACCTTGTTGCGCCAAGAGGGCGCGAATATCTCTCGCTCGATATTCTGAGCTCTGTACCACGAGGGGTTCACGACGAAGGCAGGGGTAATGCCGGCGACACCCTCCTTGATGTCCTCCTCGGGGAGCTCCCACTTCACCACTCCGAGGAGGTCCTCAAACGACTTGGCCATGATCTCTTTGCTGGCGGCCTTGTGTCCAATCTCTTTGCATCGATCGAGAAACGGTCCGTAGATGTCGCTAAAGTGTTTGAGGCGGAAGACTAGGCCCTGAGAGAGATACTTCCCCTTGGCAGACGAGATGACCCTGTAGCCAGGCTTGCCTTGGAACGTGGTGAGCCTCTTTGGGTTGCTGAAGAGGTCAATGAACTCAATCCTCTGGGGGAGGACCGAGTCGATCTCAAAGAAGACAACCAGTTCGCCCACCTGGATATCAACCGGCAGTCAGTATCCAAAGCCAATGTATCGATTTAGGGCTCAGGGGCAAAATGGGCCTCGTACCTTCCAGTCTTTCAGATCCATAAACGGGTGTTTGCTCTCTACAACGGTCCAACCGTCGATATGAAGCACAACCTGGCCGTTCATCTTGGTTGGTTCATCGATCCTTCTGATACGGCGTACAGTGACGAGCTTCCGCTTGACTACGGTAGATGGGCCCGATGGAGCCTGTGTGCACTCTGTTAGACGCGATGTGGCTTGAACTATAGCCAAGGGGCTTTCATGGGACACGGGGGCGGCAATGCCAGCCCCGAGGACGGACGCGTAAGAAGCGGTTCGTGAGATCTGTGGCGATTGCTTCGTCTTTCCCAAGGTCCAGGGGGGTGGTTGAGACTCCAGAGTGGAATCTTGCCAGGCGGTATCATCCGTGAGGGCCGCCGAAGTCTCAGTCTCCGTGAACTGTCCCAACGTGGTGCTCTGCATCAGAGTCGAAAGGGTCTCATCAGAGTTTTGTGTGTTGTTTTGCATCTCGGTACCCTCAGTAGGACACGTCATGCTTTGTGTGTTGGTTGAGGGGTTTGTCTCAAGTTCATATGTAGCGGTATACGCTTCGGAGTTATCCATAATGGCGGTGGGGGCCCCAGATCCGATTTCGTCTGGCGAAGCTGTGGTCGGTGTCATTGACTTGGTCGAGGCAGCGATTTCGGCGTGAGCGTCTAGAGTACCAGACGGCTCTCCATGCGCAAATTCCTTCGAGGTCTCGCCTTGGGTGTTCGGGGCAGGCAACGTTTTCGGCGCAGAGGCTGTGGCGTCGGCCTGTGACTCGATGCCATGTCTCTCGTGAGCAGGCGTATGCTTGCCGGCTTCCATGGTGAAGATCTGCTGATGTCAGTTGGAAATAGAGGAGGGTTGTGGGTAGATATAAAGCTAACGGATGACCTGGGATATAGAAGAAATGTTTTCTAACGTTGCTGTCCAGCTGGTGGACTGTCTCGCAGAAGATGTAGTCGTAGAGGAGTGTTTGTGAAAGAGTGGTTTGAGGTAAAAGGGAGAAAGGAGAGGAGGCAATATTTTCGCTCCTGTAATGGTGCTTGTGGCTGATATCGGATGCCTGTTGAATCTGTGGAGTGAATTTTTTTGCGAAGGATGACCGGTGAATTATAATCCGATGGAACCAATTTCAGGGGCTGTCGTCTTGATCCCAAGCTAGCGACGAAGCCGAGGCTCTGTATGGCCCGCGAGAAAACCTTAATTGTGTAGAGTATATTGATGATCGGATGACCGATAACCGAGGAAAAATTTGAAGAGAAGGCTGCCGTGGCGAGGAGGGAGGGCTGTGGTGATAGATGCGGCACTGGTGCAGAACAGGGGGTTGCTGCTTGTTCGAGATCCCGGGCGGTATTCGCGAAGGCGAGGCCTGACAGAAGGCTGTCCTGGCGTCTGGCTCGAGCTTGGGGAGAGACCACAGAGGCGACCACGGAGGTGGACTGCGATGCTTGAAGTCGGAGATTCTAGATGGCGAGATGGGCGTTCGTGGATCCAGGCGACGGGGGAGAAATCGCCAGGGAAAGCTGCGACGTCGCGGATCTGGGAGGGGAGTGCAGTTGGGGTCGCAGACAATGGGCTGGACTCGGCAAGGGGGTTGTCTTGTGGTAATAATGAAGGTTTAGATTTTCGGGAGAGCTTCTGGTGCTCAAGGAAAGTGGAGGAGGAACAAGGAGTGGCCGGGGCGGTTGGAACTGAAATCTTAGCCTTGCTGCGATGCTGAACGGGTAAAGGTGGTACCGCAAATCCTGATGATACCTTTTCAAATGAGTGCGGAAGGTGCAGCGGACGAGTAGCATAGATCGTGCGGTGTTTCGGGGAAGGAGGCACCAGAAATTGATGGCTTCCCCCTGGCCATCCGGGTACACATTCATTTTTCAAGATCACACGACGCAATATTCAATCCAAACAAACGGTTTTGTCCGGTATTGATGATCTTGGGTATATCCTCTCGTGTCTTCTTCATGCGTGCTGCGCTGAAAATGGGGCCTGCTTTATGGTATCTTGTGCCAACCAAAGCACCGGAAACACCGGTTTGGTTCCCTGCTCACCTGCTTTCCGGAACTCAAAAGGCCTTTCAGATATCTTTCAGGGCAGTTTCAGATGCAATAAAGGCCGCCGAGTGCCCCTTTGAGGCCGTTAATGGTCAGAATTTTCCCATGTGGTGCCCTTATAAGCCAGACGTTGAGGCACCCAGACAAAGCCAACACACGTGCAGAAATACAGCAAAGGGCTTAGATACTAGACGGGTTTGACGCTTAGGGGTATCTACATAGGCTCATCGCTACTTGTCATTGTGTAGTTTGGTCATCATTTTTGGCCTCAGGAAAACAAAATTTCGTGAAAACAAAGCTTCCGACAAAACGAGACTTCTTGAAAACAAAACCCCCATGAAATCAAAAACCAAAAAAAAAAAAAAAAAAACAGAATAAGGCACACATCACCTTTGCCTCCTGAGTTGACGAAATCCACAGTATTTTTTTGTTGTTCTACCCCTTTTTTTGAAGAATCCCCCTTGTGTTTCTCAATGCAGGTTGGAAAAATAACAACCAGTAAGCGGTTCGATGGGGGTTAGGATTCAAAGTGGGAGCCCGGTGTTGGAGGGTCTCCTTCGTTTTGAGAGCTTGAGGCTTTGATGTTGACCCCAAACACCAGAAACTGGTGGTTTTCGCATTCAACACGCTTGCAAACAAAAACCCCCCTCAAACTGGCATTGAAACTCTGAAATGACCGCCCATCTTAAGAATGACTAACTAAGTGGTGATCGTCGAAGTGGCATTGCTTTCGACACGTCTTTGCAACAGTGGGGGGAAACTCCCCTAAAGCTCCTCCGTTGCACCTGGACAACGGGAGTCAAGACCACCTAAGACGGAATGGCCAGAGACAAGAGCTGGCAGGAACTACCTGGCACTAACGCTGTTGATGGAGTCAGAGAGGGTCTGGAGCCGGGATCTTGTGGAGACTCGGGATTTCCAAGTTCAAAATGATCAAAATGTTTGACATTCCCAGACATTCCGCAAGTGGACTTGACTGTTTGATGCGATCTTGCGCTCTAGCACTGCCGCAACACAACTCACTTGAGTCGGGCCGCTCCTGGGCGCGGATTAGAGATCGCCACCACGAAACCACATACACCTTCGGGATTCGGCCGGGACTGAGACTGCTGCGAACTTTCCTTCATACGAGGACCGCCTTCTCGCTAGAGAAAATGTCCGACTCCACCTCAACACCCGCTGGGCTCTCAACGGCCCGCTCGA